TCCCTAACCTGTTCTTCCTCCCACCTATCCCCTCCTCCCACCTCAAGCCGCACCTCCATCTCCTACCGACCAACCTCATCCCGCCCCCTTGACCTGTCCGTCCTCCCTGGACTGACCTATCCCCTTCCTAACTCCCTACCTACACTCACCTTTCCTGGCCCCATCCCCGCCTCTTCGACCTGTTTGTTTCCTCTCCACCTATCCTCTCCTCTATCCCTCTTCTATCCGCCTCCCACTCTCTCCCTATTTATTTCAAAACCCCCTTCCCCTCCCCCTTTTCTGATGAAGGGTCTAGGCCCGAAACGTCAGCCTCTCTGCTCCTATGATGCTGCTTGGCCTGCTGTGTTCATCCAGCCCTGCACCTTGTTGTCTCGTATTCCAGCGGTGTCCTAGCAACTCCATCCAAAAAACTCTTCTCTTGCATTCAACTGACTCCACTGAAAGGCAAGTATTCCATACGCCTTCTTAACCTTTTTAAAGGAGCTGTCTTCAAGGACCTATGGAAATGCACACCAAGGTCCCTCCAAAACATCTGAGCTTCCTACCATTCAACAATGTCTTATTAGTCCTTCCAAAATGCGTCATCTCTCACTTTTCAGGATTAATTTCCATGTATCCTGTACCGCCCTTCTGACCAGCCCATCAATATCATTCTGCATTTCAAGGCTTCTCACTACCTACCGCACCATGAATTTTACCGTCATTTGCAAACTTACTGATTAAGCCTCCTACATTCGTGTATAGATCACTTGTGTATAATAAAAATAGCAAAGGACCCAGTAGCAACTGTAAGCCACTGGACACAGGTTTTCAGTCTCTCAAAAAAAAAGGTCTGACCATTACTCTCTGCCTCCCGCCACTAAACCAACTTTGGATATAATTTACCTAATTTTCTTGGATCCCATGGGCTTGCACCTTTTTGACCAGTCTCCCATGCAACACCTCATCAGAAACAGTACGGAGGTCGCACAGACATCAACTTACTACTTTCATCTACACATCCTTATCTCCCCTAAAAGTGTAATCAATCCTATGACACCCCCCAAAAATCGAGAAAGTCATGCTCACCATCCTTGATCAAATGTCGTCTTTCGAAGTGGGTACTGTGCCCCTCAATATTTTTTTTTAAATGTTTCCTTACGACCAGGTTAAACTCACTGGCCTGTAGCCCTGTAACTATTCTCCAGTCCTCTGACACCTGTGTCCAGAGAATTTGAAACTTTGTCAGGCCCCTGGCAATCTCCTTCCCAGTCTCCCAAAACAGCCTTGAATACATCAACTGCAAATGCAAATTAATTCAATTTTAAGCCCACTAAAACCTCCCCCCTTCTCAAGTATACGGCAGTCCTCCTCCCCAATGTTCATGCCTACATCGTTCTTCTGCAAAGCAGAGATGAAAAGTAGTCAATTAAAAACTCCCCATCTTTCAGCTCTACACTGGGCTCTACCCTTACCCGAGTTATAATCCTCCTGCCCCGAATATATTTACATAATGCTTTTGTCAATCTCAGTTACCTAGTGGGATAGTTGAAATCCCCCATTATAACATTTTTATACTTTAAAATTTGCTGTACAAAACCAGCCTTCTCTCTCTTCCTGGCTATCTGGTGGTTTCTTGTACACTCCCAAAAATGTGACAGCTCTACTTTTGTCTTCTATTTCTACCCACATGACACTTGAAACTTCTTCTAAAATATGATCCCTCCTTATTGCAGTAATCCACTTATTAATGCCTGCAAGACCACCACCTTTTTTACAACCCTCGTCTCGCCTGAAGATTCTAATACCCCACAATATTGAGCTGCCAATGAGGCTTCCCCGAGGTCTCCATGAAAGCTACATCATATCCCCACGTTAATCAGCACCTGAACTATGGATGCAAGGACTCTTCAAAGGCAAAATAAACATTACCCAGCCTTATCATGCTCTTCTGTCTTAATTTGAATACACATTCACTGCCTGCTGACTGACCTGGTGACGATTCTTCCATCATTATCTGTGGTTCTTCTGTACCCACTTTATCTGTACTCACTTCTGATTCTCCATTTTATATCCCAACACCTGCCTAATTAGTTTAAACCTCCACTAAACAGCACTAGCAGAGACAGCATGCTTTTACTGCTTGGGTGGGACAACCAGTTGGCAAGGAGATTAAGTTTTAGAAACACATCTTCTAATACCCATTAATGGCTATCAGTACAGCATGGAAACAGACCCTTCGCTCCAACTCACTCAAGCTGACCAAGTATCCTAAATTATTCTAGTCCCATTTGCCAACATTTAGCCCATAATCTCTCTAATCACTTCCTACTTATATACGTTTCAATGTTGTAATTGTAACAGCCTCCACCAGTTCCTCTCGCAGCTCATTGTCTACACGCACCACCCTCTGCGTGAAAAGGTTGCCCCTTAGGTCCCTTTTAAATCTTTCCCCTCTCATCCTAAACCTATGCCCTCTGATTTTGGACTCCCCACCCTAAGAAAAAGACCATTACTATTCTCCCTATCCATGCCCCTCATGATTTTATAAATCTCCATCGAGGTCACCCCTCAGCCTCTACCGCTCTAGGAAAAATAGCCCCAGCCTATTCAACCTCTCCCTATAGCTCAAACCCTCCAACCCTGACAACATCCTTGTAAATCTTTTCTGAACCCTTTCAAGTTTCACAATATCCTTCCGACAGCAGGGAGACCAGGACTGAATGCAGTATTCCAAAAGTGGCCTAACAAATGTCCTGCACAGCCACATGAGCCTATACACAATGCACTGACCAATGAAGGCAAACGTACTAAATGCCTTCTTCACTACCCTGTCTACCTGCGACTCCACTTTCAAGGAACCACGAACCTACACTCCTAGGTCCCTTTCTTCAGCAACACTCCCCAGGAGTGCAGAAGTCCTGCCCTGATTTGCCCTACCAAAATGTATCACCTCACATTTACGTAGATTAAACTCCATCTGCCACTCCTCGGCCCATCTGATCAGGGACCCACTATACTCTGACGTAACTACCTTCGTTGTCCACTACACCACCAATTTTGGTATCATCTGTAAATTTACTAACCATACGTCCTATATACAAACTTTGGATTTAAATATACGACAAAAAGCAGTGAACCTGCTACCAACCCATGCGGCATTCCACTG